ACAAAAAATCATCATGACAACACTATAGATATTAAAAAAACATCTGGGTACTTTTAATTTGTGGAAATCGAGAAAAAATTACCAAAATTGGAAATGTATTATTATGGTTGTTTTAAGTCCAAAAAAATCTCGCCCATCATAATTTGAATCAAAAAATGGTCAGGGCATTTGGAACCAGAGTGAACTTGAAGAAAAAACAGATAACCCGTACCCCGAATAGACACCACAATAACTGATTAGATATTTCAATGACCTCTGACCTTTAAAGCGACACAATTCCTGGAAGCAACACATGTATACCGTGTGCTCTACTCCAAAGTGATAAAATTCCATAATTACATGTATTATAACTGGCTAATTATAGGGGCACAGGCAACATTTTGTCCGCTTAAACAAAAGGTTATAATGACGCTTTGTACGGTACCTTATAATTAATCGTTATCATTTAGTCCAGTCAACTATCCACTAATGATAAAACAGTAATAGAGGTATAGTGTATGGTTATACAAAATAGTGAAATGTTTAGCAGTAAATTATAGGTGTGTGAATTGATAGGCAGGTTGTTATCACCGGCTATTAGCCTCTTGTGGTTAGTGCCTTGTGGTCATTATATCAATGAACGATTGATAATTGAAGAGAGGCTCAGGTCTATCAGCAGAGGTCTCTCAACTTCTTGGGCCTTATTTCTAAACCCCTTATGCTTCATATTTAAGGGTCTTATTTCACATTTGAGGACCCTGCTTCTCATTTGAGGGCATTATTTTATATTTGAGGACCTTACTTCATAAGTGAGGGCTTTATTTTACCCCCCTATCTCACCAAACTAGTTCTTACCCGTTCTTGCCAGTCCTATGAATACTGGTTAATCTGGCTGTGGTCAAGAAATATGTCTAAAATAATTAGCTACTTCGTTCATAAACAGTCTTCAATACGTCCATCTCATTCGCAGTTCGTTCAGGTCGCACCACGTCGGTGTGCAATGTCGTGTAACGCGTCCCTTAGTCTAGAAGGGCATCATGACCTGATTACAGAATGGTATGGTCGCCATCGAAATTTGAATCGATTCAAAATTCTAAATCACATTCCCCGTCCGGGAAAGTCCATGAAGTTCGTAAACAGACTGTAGAATGTTGTAGCTACGTTCATTCAGTTCGCACACAGTTTAAAACCAGTTTTGAAGAACGCTGTGGCAACTTGTTTGGTGTCATAGCTATATTTTTGCTACCTCGTTTATAAGCAGTCTTAAATAGGTTCTTAATCAGTTTAAACCCGTTTGCAATTAGTTTTACCTCGTTCTCAATACATCCTAAGACAGTTCAACTTGTTGTTAAAACGTCCCTAGTAGGATTGAAGTACGACGGTTCCATTCGTAGTTAGTCCAGCTCGTCGCTAGTACGTTGTCACTCTTTCTAATTGTAGATCGTATCGACCGAGAGAACATGTTTAGCATGATCTAAGTTCTAGAGGACCTACCCATTCGAGTATGTTCGATGAAGTTTGAAAATAGACCCCAAACAGTTCTAAGTACGTCCAGTCCGATTGTACACAGTTGAAGAACGTAGTGAAAACTAGTTTGGTGTGATAGTAGGGTTACAAATGAGTGCCATACTTCACATTTGAGGGCATTACTTCATATCCGATGGCCATACATCACATTTGAGGACCTTACTTCACATTTGAGGGCATTACTTCATATCCAAGGGCCTTACTTCACATTTGAGGGCATTACTTCATATCCAATGGCCTTACGTCATATTTTAGGGCCTTACTTCACATTTGAGGGCATTTCTTCATATCCAATGGTCTTACGTCATATTTTTGGGCCTTACTTCACATTTGAGGGCATTACTTCATATCCAATGGCCTTATGTCATATTTTAGGGCCTTACTTCACATTTGAGGGCATTACTTCATATCCAATGGCCTTACATCATATTTTAGGGCCTTCACTTCACATTTGAGGGCATTACTTTATATCCAATGGCCTTACTTCACATTTGAGGGTTCACATTTGAGGCTTCACATGATGTATACAACTGTTTGAGATAATAAACTGTGAGTAATCTTCGTGTCCTGACTGCTGACGTCAAATCGAATATAATTATTTTTATGAAAATCAAATGTTTGAGTGATAATTTCAGTAATTTAAATAATTGTGCAATCATGAAGCATTGACTTTGTTCAAACTACCCTTAAGCCCAAAGACTCTGATCACATTTTAAATGTAATATAAAACTATAATAAAACTTGTCTTTATGAATACATAAGGGTTATGTACTGGGAGCGGGAGATATGGAGGTTCAGGATATGGAAACCTCAAAATCAAATCTCCCAAAAACTCTACTTGGCATAGGATAAATAGAGATTATCCTATATGAGGTTCAGGATATTGGGATTATCCAGAGGCAAATATAATATATTTGCCCGAGGGCCGCAGGTCCCGAGGGAAAATATATTATATTGGCCAAGGGATAATTCCAATATCCTGAAACGACTATAGGATAATATGTTTATCCCATACCAATCTTTGTCATCTGGTTCACATTGTTCAATCGTGGAAATATTTTAGAATATTCATGTCCAGTTTTGGTTTCTTGGCCGTGGGTGGATTTTCCTGTTCTCTCAAATATTCCCACATTTATTTTCTCAAATTTTTGATTGATTACGTGGATGCTCCTTCCCTTTTTTAAACCATCAAACAGATCCCGATTATCTGTGTCTTCTCCATTGTCGTTTACAGTCATTACACGAACGTTACAAATTATGAACAAATATGCGAGCGGCGGTTATAACGTAGCGGGCAGATATACTATATCTGCCCGCTCGGAGCGGGACGTAAAGCTATATCTGCCTGCTGATGAAAATATAAGTTTTTACAAACTGGCTTTATGTACCTGTAACATGTCCAAGTATGGGATAAATAAGGGTTATGTACTGGGAGGTTTTGGATATGGGGTTTATCCAGAGGGAGATATGCATATCTACCTGAGGGACCATAGGGACCGAAGGTAGATGTGTATATCTCACGACGGATGAACCCAATATCCAAACAGACCGTACATAACTGCTTTATCCTATACCAAGTAGAGTTTTCAGGGGCATATGGCCATTTCAATAGTACAAGGTGTAAAAATAAACAAATCATTCATATGCAAAGTCATTTTATTGCATTTCCACTACTTACCGGAAGCGGGAAGATATGCACCGAAGCGGGAAGATATGCACCGAAGCGGGAGATATGGAGGTTCTGGATATGGAAACCTAAAAATCAGGATATGGGATATATCTTACCAACTTATCTCCCTAAAACTCTACTTGGCATAGGATAAATGTACTTATCTTTTGAGGACACATATCCCAAGGGGAACACTTTTCTCGGAACAATATATGTCACTGTTATAACAAAGCGTAGTTTCCAAATAAATAAATTAAAAAAATAACATCAAAGGGTCAATAAAAGACAATGGAGAGGTTAAGCTAACGATGTTTTTCACAACGTAACCGTGAACGCAAAGTACAAAAATTAACAAAGGAATGTATCGAGCGCTCATAGTTTTATGTGCGCTTAGTCTACTTCAGATACTCTTTCAGCTTCAGAGTTTCGCGTTTAGAACGGGAGATTTTACAATTTGACGTTTGGTCAACGGGAACCATTTTACTCGTGTCTATTGAACACTATGCTGTCAATTTTGATTTCAATGCACAGTTGAATTCTTGCTGAACACGATGATGTATGTCATGCATGATTTAGCGCCAAAAATCTTACGAAACGAGCTCGTTTAAATATGTATTAGAAAACCAGCTATAAAACCGCATCAATGACATACTATAGAATCATTACACGCTATGGTGTAGTCTAAACAAACACTGGATTTGAACGGCTATTTATATGAGAAGGCTACATGAATTTGTATATGGTCGAGTGATACGTACAGGTTCAGTTTCGATTATATATGCAAAGCTTAACCTCTCCAGTATAAATAAATAATACCCAAATTTTTAAAAGAATCCTATCTAAATTGCCCAGTTTATGTGGGAAGGATAAGATATTCCTTCAAGAAAGCAAAAAGGTAGGTCCACAGTTTTTAGGAGTCTCCTCTTGGCTTCAGGAAAACAATTGTATTCTTATCCCAAGCTGATGCAAAAATCAAACTTGAGAGAAAAACATGACACAATAAGATGTCAGCAATATTCTATAGCCAACAAAAAACACCATAGCATGAAACTTACAGAAAAAACAATTAATTCTAGATAGATAAATCACCTAATGGGTATAGACTATTTAATACATAGTTGCATGTGTGTAGTCTGCGGAGACAAAGTATTATGTTTCACAGCACTTAGGCAATTTCTGGCCACATTTGTGACAAACTTAGCTCTTAATGCTATTTCGCCATAAGATATCAGAACTGCATTAAGACAAACACTCCCTTTCACTGGAGGTACTTCTGTATGTGACCCATATATACCATGTGATCAAAACCAACCAATGAGAGATGATGTGCGATGTATAGTGCATCATGGGTAGTGACTGCATATTTCCATTTTCTGTTTATGAGCGTATTATATTTGTACATGTATATATTCAGTTTAACCCCAGGCGATACCTGAGCATTGTAGTGTTTGACATTTAAAGAAACACAATATGATGAATCAGTTCTATAAATTGATGCTTTCGTGAAATCACAAATTGCTCAACTTGATCACATCAGGGCTAGAATCAATATAATCAGACACTTAAAAGGGTAGAGATCTACACATACGTTAAAATTTAGAAAAAATATGCTTTACTCTTCTGACTTAATCTGATTTATACAATTCAATTAAATTTTGTTTGTCATAATAGGTAAATATTAGGAATCGTCAGAAAAGATCTGTCTCTGTGTATGTGTACATATTTATAATAGTGTATTTTTGTATCATTTGTTTGTTTATTTGATAAAATCTGCTGACTATTGAGCTCCATTAAAAAATTTAAGGTCAGTTTTAATTTTGATCACTAGGTGCCCAGGTATGACAGCATTTCTATCTCATTTATTATTGGTATATAAGGGCAATCAAATTATTCTAAAAATGTATAATATACCATATTTTTTCATCAATTTATGGAAATAAATCATTTTTTAACCTAAGCTTCACTATTAAGTACTTGATATCCACTTGAAATGGCTTATTAGTTAAAAAAATCATAATCGACAGAGCATAAGTCAAACCAATAATGATCACCACCCAGCATAACCTGGTACTATTGACAGGAGACCATCTGACAAATAACACAGTCATAAAATCAAATAACACTGGCTGCAAAGAACCATCTCAGAATTCCTTTAAATTCATTAAATAATTGAAGCAATGATCCGTGAATTTCTCTAAATGCCACACCAGGATTTCGCTATGTTGGTAATGCACCAAAGGCCATGTGCGAAATATCACGTCCATTGTTAAGGAGTTTTCATCCTGTATACTTAACGTACACCAGTAGTCGCCGAAATGCCATTTCCTTGCCCACAAACCAAGACATTCAGTGTTAAATTGCTCAAATATGATACGATTTTCCTGTCATGGCTATATAGGGATGATGGTTATTGTCATGGAATTGGATTCCTTCAAGTTAATGAAAAGGTGATTAATGACTGGATTCAAAACCTGTTTATCCGCCATTCAGGGTTTCATGAGAACTTAATTCAGATGACAGGCAAAATGAATGAAAACAACAACAGGCAAAATTATAATGATAATTTCAACATAGAAACATTTGCAGATTTTAGTAAAACAACAAGTGATTTTAGTAAAACAACAAGTGATTTTAGTAAAACAACGGGAGATTTGGTAAAACAATGACATCCAGTAAAACCTACATTATATGGACACTATACAGAGTCCACATAATAAATGAACAATGTATACATATATGTGAATATTCAAATATGGATTCTCACCTGCTATTGGTCAGTTTGAGTCAGGGGGTGACCCACTAGCAGACGGAAACACCAGCACGTGTTCAATGGTGTGGGGAGGGGACGATCTGGCATCAAAACTATGAATTTTTGGCACGCTGCTTGCTGACCCGGAACTTGTGCTTAAGTTGTCCATGCTTATGTGGTATTGGATATCTGAAAAATATAAATACAATATTTATTATTGATTGTAGGTTTGCTTGCTTGTTGGATTGATTGTTGGTTTGCTTGCTTGATTGGTTTTGTTTGTTTGTTTGTTTGTTTGTTATCTATTTGTTGATAAGTGCGGCTATAGTGATTTAATCAACATCTCATCGCTTATTATGCGATAGTATCTGAAGGGAAATTTCTTCAGGTTAAGGTTATATTCTTAATTATTATATCAAATATATCTAACATCAAAATCACAAGCGCATTATCAAGAGCAATATTTTCACCACTCACTATTTAATTCCTTTTTTGAAGTCAGCATGAATTTTTGTAATAATTTCACCATTCTTAATATCTATTTTTTTAGTCAGCAGGCATAAAAAGGGAAATTGGCCATTTTCTGAGACCAGTAGTCGAGAGCATAATGCAGAAAATTGTGAATAAAACTGGCGACAAAACCACACATGTGGAACATAAAAAATGTCATCGCATGATGCGTGGAAATATTACTGTGCAAAAGAGTCATTTCTCACAATACGTTTGACAGATAGACACACAGGGGCTGGCTAAAAGCAACATACAATACAATTACTTTTCTAATTACCCACAATCTTACATTTACAAGTGTCTTCTTCGGCTAATAATAACCGTTATCTTTTTGCCATTTTTCTTGCTTAAGCCGCCAAGTTTGACAGTTATAATAAACAATACTAAAAACGCAATGGTAATTTAGCATAGGTCAATTTTTTACTTTGTCAGTCAAGGGGGAATCAATGGTACAACCCTTGACAGATTCGCAACAGTAATTATTGTCCTTTGTCTGTTTGTCCCTGGCTTTTGTATTGCAACCATTGTCTTTAAAGAGATCTGTGAAACATGGACACTTCAGTTTTTATAGTGTTACAATTTGGTTTAGTTAAGACCGAACCATTAAAACATAACTGAACTTTCTGTTTCATTTTATATCATTATTTCAAAGAATATTGAATGACATTAATGTTTTTCTCATTAGCAGTTATGGGCTGGAGATTAATTATTTTATTTAATTGGTGTCTTAAAAGCTATCATAGTTTATTTATAGTTTATGCAATGGCAGATATAAATGCTCTCATTTTGAACAAACTTGAGACTTTTTATTTGAAGGAGGCGTGTGACCAATTTTGAACTCTTTCAAGCGTATTCTGCCTGCAGGGTTCTTTACAAAAATACTCATTTTATTTAATATGTAGACCTCAATTACATGTTTTCTGCTGGTATTATGAATTTTTCACTGTCAATGTACACATCATACAAGAAGATATTTCAAAGGGAATAACAGGAAAAACAGGAATTTATGGATTTTCATAGGGAATAACAGGAATTTATGGATTTTCAGAGGGAATAACTGGAATTTATGGATTTTCACAGGGAATAACAGGAATTTATGGATTTTCAAAGGGAATAACAGGAATTTATGGATTTTCAGAGGGAATAACAGGAATTGATGGATTTTCATAGGGAATAACAGGAATTGATGGTTTTTCATAGGGAATAACAGGAATTGATGGTTTTTCAAAGGGAATAACAGGAATTGATGGTTTTTCATAGGGAATAACAGGAATTGATGGTTTTTCAAAGGGAATAACAGGAATTGATGGTTTTTCAGAGGGAATAACTGGAATTGATGGATTTTCATAGGGAATAACAGGAATTTATGATTTTTCATAGGGAATAACAGGAATTTATGGATTTTCATAGGGAATAACAGGAATTGATGGTTTTTCAAAGGGAATAACAGGAATTTATGGATTTGCAAAGGGAATAACAGGAATTTATGGATTTTCATAGGGAATAACAGGAATTGATGGTTTTTTACAAGGAATAACAGGAATTTATGATTTTTCATAGGGAATAACAGGAATTTATGGATTTTCAAAGGAATAACAAGAATTTATGATTTTTCATAGGGAATAACAGGAATTTATGATTTTTCATAGGGAATAACAGGAATTTATGGATTTTCAGAGGGAATAACAGGAATTGATGGTTTTTCAAAGGGAATAACAGGAATTTATGGATTTGCAAAGGGAATAACAGGAATTGATGGTTTTTCATAGGGAATAACAGGAATTGATGGTTTTTCAAAGGGAATATCAGGAATTTATGGATTTGCAAAGGGAATAACAGGAATTGATGGTTTTTCATAGGGAATAACAGGAATTGATGGTTTTTCAAAGGGAATAACAGGAATTTATGGATTTTCAAAGGGAATAATAGGAATTGATGGTTTTTCACAAGGTATAACAGGAATTTATGGTTTTTCATAGGGAATAACAGGAATTTCTGGATTTTCATAGGGAATAACAGGAATTTATGGATTTTCATAGGGAATAACAGGAATTTATGGATTTTCATAGGGAATAACAGGAATTTATGGATTTTCATAGGGAATAACAGGAATTTATGGATTTTCATAGGGAATAACAGGAATTTATGGATTTTCATAGGGAATAACAGGAATTTATGGATTTTCATGGGGAATAACAGGAATTTATGGATTTTCAAAGGGAATAACAGGAATTTATGGTTTTTCATAGGGAATAACAGGAATTGATGGATTTTCATAGGGAATAACAGGAATTTATGTTTTTTCATTGGAAAAATCAGGAATTTATGGATTTTCATAGGGAATAACAGGAATTTATGGTTTTTCATAGGGAATAACAGGAATTTATGGATTTTCATTGGGAATAACAGGAATTTATGGATTTTCATTGGGAATAACAGAAATGTATTGATTTTCATAGGGAATAACAGGAATTTATGGATTTTCATAGGGAATAACAGGAATTAATAACAGGAATTTATGGATTTTCATAGGGAATAACAGGAATTTATGGGTTTTCATAGGGACTTGGTGCTAAAATCCTTTGTAATATTTTTTATTTATTTGATCTTGGGTTGACTTTTTATTCAATACTGTAGTTTTCAATGACACGTGTTCGAAAAAACAAAACCAGCAACTTGATATAATGGAACTTTGATCTAAATGAGTTAAATTACTTAAAACTGACAAAAACAGATACAAATCATGTATTGAATATCAAAACTGAAAAGACATTTAGAATAAAGAATAAAGTTGAAGTTAAATGCTACAAAAGGTTTGAAATAAAAACTATTTTCTGCTATTTTGGTATGGACCTCTTTTGATATACATCATAAGGTTTCATATCACCAATTCTATATTCAAAGAAAAGCAATGATGGAACATAGCCAGCAAAGTTATTATATATATATATTATATAATATATTATATTATATTCTTCTACTGGTTATAAAAATTACTCTTTTATTTTGACATGATATCCCATAAACTAATGTGTCCATGTGTGGAATACTTCTTAAGATGTTTCATTAAAAAACGATCATAATAACATTGAAATGATTAGAGTCATTAAAAAAACATAAAGCAATATGACATCTACATTGTCCCTCTGTTAGTGTTGAGATTTTGTTACATTATAAAACTTGACAATCATGATTAAATTTCATCATAAATTATCAATATTAAAAATTTCCAGTGGGAAAAATGTACTTTAAGTTGAGAAAAATAGTTTAAAGTATGTTTGACGGGACCTCATTGAAAATTTCAAAATCCAGTTCAAACTTTTTCTTTAAACATTTTAAAGGAATTGCATTTTTTCAATCATCTCTTTACTTTTTTTGCAATTTTAGAGTCAAAATAAACATTATCATACGAGTATTCCCCCTTTCCCAAAAGTTTTGCCAAAAACAGAAAATAAACCTGTACAGGCCTTGAGGCATGTGTCGTGAAAGCTGATTCCAATAATTTGTATACCTTACAATGACTTACACTATAGAGAACAATAAAGTTTTATATTGTTGAGAGTTCAGATTTACCAGCTGCCCAATGTATCAGTCGTATGTATTGATTTTGCATTTATATAAAATTACAGGAATTTAAAAATTTGCTGAAAACAGAATCTTGAAATTTTTGATTTTTTCATGTTTGAAAATAGAATACATGTGTACTTGGAATTTATGTTCTAGAATAAATAATCATTTTACTTTTGATATTATGAACAATAAAATCTGCAAAAGTGTGAATTTTTTATTACAAAGAAAAATAAAATTTGTGAAAAATAATAATATATTTTTGTAAAAAAATAGAAATATGATACAGAAAGCAACAAAAGGCAAACATTAAAAACAAAACAACTTAAAAACCCCTATAAAAGATGCAAATAAAACAGTTACAAAACAACTGAAAAAAAAACATTAAAAGGAAAAATATGTAGAATATAATAAAATCAATACAAACGTCTCAAAGAGAAAAAAATATTGATTAAAATATTGCAATTAATTTATTGTTTCATCAAAGCATTGGGACATATCTGATTTCAACAATTTTATTGTTCAACGGCTGGCAAATGCATTTTATCTCAATCGCTTATTAAGTGGCACTTTTTTATCGCACATTTATGCTACATTGTGACGGGTCTACAGGGTGGACAATGAAAGACCAATGAGTGTTTATTTCCTTTGAGACTTATCATTAATACATCACAGAGTAACAAACTTTAAATGATCAATACATGTAATTAGTTAACTCACCAGTGCTCGATCATATCAGGAATTATTTAAGTTTTGGTAGAAACATTGGTAGAAATGGTGTCAATTGTGGTCAATCACATTCATGTTATATTTCATACATTTTACGTGATATAATTGTTTATTTCACAAAGGTAGAAATTCTAGTGATCTGATTGGCCAATGTGAGGTAAATATTTCCCTTATGAGTAGATTTACTTATTTTGGAAAATTATAAGATATAAATATAAAGTTATTATCATAGATACCTAGCTATTGCAGGCGGAAATTCTATCAACGCCTGGTCCAATTTAATTTTTTTAATTAACACTATATACCTGAATCCTTAATTTGTACTTTTCAGATCAAAACTATTAGTGTACTATTAGATCCAGGTTAGAATACTAACAGTGGCAGA